CTGTGCAAGAGGCGGAAGGTCAACCAACTGGTGGCAATGATCCCAAGGCCTCAGTTGTCGGAGACTCCCTGCGGCATGGGATGGAAGCACACATGCGTTGTGAAGACTGATGGACTCATCAGGTATGCTGTCCCCCTGGATGGCGAGTTAGTGATGCAACTGAAAGACTGTCAAACTCATAATGCTGACTAACACGTGTCCTGTCATTCATACACATGGGAGAACAAGTGACACTGCCAAGCAGAGTTTTCTTTCAATCCTTCCAGTTCTTAGAAGAGGAGCAGACAGGGAAATAAAAATTCTCCAAGTGAATGCCTGGCTGTGAAGAGACTGCCAGTGCGAGAGATTTGGATTCCAGGACCACATCCATACTTCCTGGAAGATGGACTGCTGGCAAGGGATGGATTGCACCTTACATGGACTGGAAAGAATGTGTTTTGTTACAGCATGAAGAAGTTTATTGGGAGGGGCTTATACTGAATACTACAGAGAAGAGAGAAGTATACCAGACAAAGTCAAATGCACCTCAACAGAGAGAGCAGCTCTACTAGTGCCCAATAATAGTCCTTCCAAAAATGTAGGAATGAAGCTAAAGTAAAAAGCAGGTGGTTTTCAATGTCTATATACTAATGCCTGGAGTGTGGGAAACAAGCAGCATGTACTTGAACTCTTAATGCAAGAGGGTGAATATGACCTGATGGTGGGACTGGGACTGGAATTTAACAACTGTAGGATGTAACTTGTTCAAGAAGAACAAAAGGAACAGAAAAGGAGGCAGAGTCATACTGTATGTTAAATACACATAGTTCTGCTCAGAAATAAAGGAGGATGAGCTTAGTAGCCCCATTGAGAGCACCATTTAAAATAAATGGAGCAATGAATAAAAGGAGCACAGAAGTTCGAGTCTATTACTGTCCACCCAGTCAAAGAGAAGACAAGGATGAAACTTTTGAAAAGCAAATTGCTGGTGTTTCAAGGAGGCATGATGTTGTCATTATGGCAACTTCCATTTCCCTGATATCTATTGCTTGCAAATTCCTCCTATAGAAAATGGAGGAATGAATTAGAGGAACAGCTATGGAAGGACCTCCTTGACTTGATTCTAACCAACAGGGAAGACCTAGCGGACAAAGTAGCAACAATGGGAACTCTGGGGGAAAGTGACCATGCCATACTTGAATTCTTGATTCTAAAGGAAGCAAAAGCAAAGTTTAGCCAAAATCATACCCTAGATTTTAGGAAAACCAAATTTAACAAATTCAAAACAACTAAAAGTAAAGTCCCATGGCAAGTGACTATAATGGGTAGGAACTTTTAAGAAAGGAAAATTATAAATGCACAACTACAAACAATTCCAACAAGGAAAAGAGGTAGACGACAAGAGAAGAAGCCCGTGTGGTTTCACAAAAAGCTTAGAGATGAGCTGAAATCAAAAAAGAACATGTATAGGAAGTGCAAGGAAGGCCAAGTTACAAAAGGAGAGTACAAGCAGGTAGCACAGAATTGCAGGGATGGCATCAGGAAGGCTAAAGCTAGAAATAAACTGAGGGAAACTATAAGCAAAAAAAAAAAAGCTTTCTTCAGCTTATGTCTATAGTAAAAGACAGAAGAAAGCAAAGGGGATTCATCTCTCCCACATGGATGGCAAAATGATAGCAAAGAAAAGGCAGAAGTGCTCAATTCCCGCTTTGGCTCTGCCTTCTCCCAAAAGAAGATCTATAACCTTCCTGACGAAGGGCAAATTTGCTGAAGGAGCAGGCAGCTCAAGATTGATAATCAAATGGTCAAGGATCATCTAATTGGATTGAAGGAGTCCAAATCTCCAGAACCCAATGAACTCCATCCTAGTGTCATAAAGGAGCTGGTGGAAGGACTCTCAAAACCACTGTCTATTGTCTTTCAGAAAGCATGGAGGATAGCGAAAGTGCCACATGACTGGAGAAGGTCTACTGTTGTCCCCATCTTCAAGAAAGAAAGAAAAAAAAGAACCTGGAAATTACAAACTAGTCAGTCTGACATGAACCCCTAGGAAAATTTTGGAGCAGATTATAAAGCAGTTGGTCTGCAAGCAACTTGAAAACAATGCAGTGATTACCAGAAACCAACATGGGTTTCACAAGAACAATCCTGCCAGACTAATATGATTTGGGTAACCTCCCTGGCGGACGGTGGGGTTTCTGAGAACATAATATATCTTGATTTCAGCCATTTTTTGGCCAATTGCTCTATGCTATCCTGATGAGCAAGCTAGCAAAAAGTGAGCTAGATGGAACAACCTCCAGGTGGATCCACAGTTGGCTACAGAATCGGACTCAAAAAGTGCTTCTCAATGGCACCTTCTCAAACTGGGGAGAGGTGACAAGTGGGGTAACACAGAGTTCAGTCCTGGGCCCAGGGATCTTCATTTGGAGCACTGTGTCCAGTTCTGGACACCATAGTTTAGGAAAGATGCAGACAAGCTAGAAAGGGTTCAGAGGAGGGCAATGAGGATGGAGGGCAACAGGGACTGGAAACAAAGCCCTGTGAAGAAAGACTGAAAGAACTGGGCATGGCTAGCCTGGAGAAAAGGAGCCTGAGGGGAGCTATGAGTACTTGAAATGTTGCCACAAAGAGAAAGGCCAGGATCTCTTCTCAATTACCCCAGAGTTTAGGATACAGAATAACGGGCTCAAGTTACAAGAAGCCAGATTCTGACTAGATATCAAGAAAAGTTTCCTAACTGTTAGAGCAGTATGACAATGAAACCAATTACCCAGGGAGGTTGTTAGTTCTCCCACACTAGAGGCATTCAAAATGCAACTGGACAGCCGTATGAGAGGGATGGCTTAATTTGGAGACCTGCAATGAGCAGCGGGTTGGACTCAATGACTCTCTTGGCCCCGTCCAGTTCTATTATTATATGATTCTGTGTTGATCTATTTAAAGCATAAGCACCCACACACACTGCCAAGAAGAATTTTTTCTCCTTCCGAGATGCTGCATTTTTTCAGGACCTTAATACTACCCTTATACACATATAAAGTACCAGCTATGTAGGCAGCCCTAGTTAGACATCCTGTACCTACCTGGATTAGTATTACATATTTGGCATAATATGCCATATCTCGCATAGACAAACCAGAATAGTTTGCCTCTCAAAGATGTGTGAGCACTTACCTGTTTACTAAAGAAGCAGTTTTATTGTAGAGTCTGGCTCCTTCCAAAATATAAACTGCAGCATCCAATATTTTTTTGAAAATGTAAATACTTAGAATAGATTATCCTGTTATAAAAGCCACACAATACCAAGTGTTAAGCCTTTTAAAAGGCAACTAAAGCCTTGAGGGAAGCAACGGAGCTCTTCAAAGCTAGAAGATTAAACATTAATCTTGGCAGCAAAGAAAAAAGCGGGGAGGGGGAGTGGTGTACTGAATAAGGATTAAACAATAACATTGTTTTCTCCGTTTCTATATTTGGAGTTGGAATATGAAGATGATAATTCTTCATGATCTCCAGGGTTCTTCAGAATGAACTGGGGAATTACTTAATGATATGATACAACCAACAAGCCATGGAAAAGTTCGACTGAAATAGAAAGTAGACCTGCAGGATTTTCAAGTACTTCAAATTATGTAGATATGACTCCAATTTAGCTCCTTCCCAAAGAGTAGCTCAGGCAATGAGAGCCCATGCGACATACTGGTTAGAGGGCTGAACTGGGATAACTTCGGGCCACTCACAGACTCTGCCTCACACCTTGAGTCCCTTGCAAGAGGAAGCAAGGAGGAGTATAAGTGTAGTGCAACAAAAACAAGGACCATAGATATAACTATTTAATGTTTCACTGTGGGGCTTTGTTGGCCAACAGAGACTTTATGAACCGGCAAACAGCATTGCCCTAGTCCTGAAGCACAGCTGCTCTGACCTTTCCAATGTCAGAACTGACACTGTCCTGAACCAACAGCACTGGACACTATGGCCACAACCTGGCAGGCCCACAGTCCATAAAAAGGAGACTGAGGCTGAAACACTTCCATCCGAGGGCCAAATTCCATTTCAGAAGTTCTCAGGGGCTGCAATCCAGTGGATGGAGGAGCCCAAGGCAAAGAGATGAGGCTGAAACACCAACAATACCAGCACATTTTAGCTTAAAGCTCTTACTGCCATCTTTACAAGAGACACTTCAACCTTTCAGAATAAGGGAGAAGCGGCAGAAAAGCTCAAACTGCACCCACCAAATAGCTGGGAGCAGAACGGCAGGGCCAAGGAGGAGAGCATGCCCTGGGGGCTGGACAGGGATTCCAGAAGTGCCAGACTACATAAGCAGCACTAGGTAAGTCAGCCATTCAAACAGACTGATGGAGTGATGTGAACCTGAACCTTTTCCCTACAGCTATGCAGCTTCTTAACCAGACAGAAGGGCCACTTCTGAACAATTAAAATATTCTTAAAATCTCCCCCAGTGTAAAGGGAAGTGATGAAAACTGAAGATAAGGAAATAAGGGGGAAAGGAGAGGGTAAAAGCACCAAATAGACCTGCAGCATTCTTTGATGTCCAGAAAGGAACAGAAAGCTGGTAACACACCCTGCTGCCTTACACATGGCCACAAGTTTTGATCCATAATCTCTACATCTAGACCAACTCAAGAAGAGTAGCTGAAGCAAATTCAACAGGGTGGTTGTCCTCCTATAAACCTACAGATCCCTTCAAGAAGATCTATCTCATACTCTGGAAATTATGACCTCACAAAATCTGGAGCCTACTGACCTTTCATCAAAATTTTGAAAAATGAAGTTTTCTTTTATCAAGTTCAAAAATGATACCATTAATACAGTCATCTTATAAGCCATAATGTCCCCAAGCTGTTAAGATCATTAGAGGTCTAAGTCAGTTCCTTGAATTACATTCAGACAATCAAAGCAGATACTACACACATTGGAATATAATTACTGTATTAATTAGTAACATAATCAGAATAGCACATGTTCTGAATATTTTGAAGATGCTAAGATGCCTTTACCTTTGCAGTTTTTCTTCCAGCACTTCCATATATTTGAGAGTATTTTTCTTCAACTTGTTCTCTGTAAAACAAAATGCAGTGTTCTTTTAATTAAGAAAATATGCATCTTACAGAAATTACTCTGAAGAGATTTTTTGTCCATTTTGGCATTGGAGAAGAGCAACAATTTCATTGGTCTTTCTTCCTTTCTGGTTCCAGTTTGTTTATTTGTTTAGTCACAAAGTCGTCCAACCCATCACAACCCCATGGACAGCATTCCTCCAGGCTCTCCTGTCCTCCTCCATCCCTCGGAGTCCACTCAAGCCCACACTCCATCTAGCCACCTCATCCTCTGCCATCCCCTTCTCCTTCTGCTGTCCTAAAGTTAAACAAATGTAGTCATGTGGACTTCAGTGATTGTGCACACTTGGTCTGAGAGAGAGACAGAGAGAGAGACTGAGAGACAGACAGAGAACAAAGAAAGCAGCCCTCCCCACCACCCCAACAGGTAGGTGCAGCCACTCCTTGCACTGAACACCTTATGCCGTGACCCTCCCAAGTCCCTTTCCAAAAAGGGTGTTTGTAGCCAGGCAGCACCTGTCACTTAGCCTTGGGTCTGCAGTGCATTTCTTTGGCGTACTGAAGTCTCCTTACGGTGGGAGGCACTGTGCCTTCACATGAAGACATATCTACCATGATCTCCCCTTTGGCCAGCCCCCTCTGTCTGGATCTCCTGTTCCAAGAAGGGCAAGGACTGACAGGATGAGTGTTCAGTGACATTCCTGCCAGTACTTCATCAGGCCACAACAACCAAAACAGCCAGCACAAGATCAGGCACGTGGTGGCACCAGTCACCCCAACTGGTGCTGTACTAACAGTGCTATGCTTGCATGAAGACTCATGATTTTTTCCTCAAAGTGCAATGTCAAAAGGTCTCAAGCGTTCTTTAAGAGTCCAAGGATCCATCCTTTGGACAAAGTATTAACCGCACAAACCATCGGGAAAAGCCCAGCTGAACAGATACTCCAGGATGCAATGGAGACAGAAAGCCCCACTTTTTGCTGCAATAACCCCAGTTTTGTGTTCTAGCATGTGTTTGGCCCTCTTCCCTTAAACTCTTCTGCCATGTACACTCTAGCCAAGACTGAGCCTGTTTCACTGTCTGCCACTCCCCAGTATGCCAAGGAGCAGAGTGAGATCAAGTCAGTGGCCCATTATATCCAACCTTTGCACAAGACTAGGGCCTTGACTATCTCACCATTCCCATCAAGAGCACTGGCAAATCCACTGGAAACCATCAGCCTCCTGGGGAGGAGTTGCGGGGAGGGGTCAAATGAGCTTAATTCTTCTAAACATTTATTTCCCTGTCTTTCACAGGCCAGAAATTACAAACACATAGCAAGAATACAATCACATCCTTGAATCACAAGATATTCTTATATAGAAGTAATAACCAATTTGTCAGCCTATACTTATGTGTCAGATGCAAACACTTTCCTTTAAACATGCTCTGATAATTGGTAGCTTCATGCTCCTGCCTTTATTGCTGTTCATCCTGATCCCATTATTATATGGCCTTGGAACATGACACATTCCAACTCAAGAGTTTCTCTCATCCTGATATAAAATGTCAATACATATTAATAATTGGAGGGGAAGGGAGAGAAACTCTTTCACACTTACTTTGTTTCCAACAAATAGCACTATGTATTATGTTACATAAATGATAAGCCCTAGCTCCAGTTTTTCCTGCTGCGCTAGCTAGATTTTAATTGGATATTATCTGATACAGTAATTCTTACTTTTCACAGTTGTATCCTATTCCCTACGTGCAATTTTACAATGCCCTTGAAGCATATAGCTTAATAAATCAGCAAAGTTCAATGACAAAAAAGTAACAGGTAAAATACCACCACTTGGCAAAAGTAGGTTAGTGATAAACTCTCTGGGAAACACAGGTAGGACATATATACCTCTCTAGTAAACATTTTAACTAGATTAAAAGAACTAGGAATATCACATGATGCTCTCTACTTACAAAGAATATGTGTTGCTTCCCTTAATTTCCAGTAAATGCAACTGAGAAGTTTCATTTAAAACTTCTCCAATATCCCACTAGTTTTACTTTCCTAGCACCTTGGACAAAATAAATAAATAAATAAATCCTGCTCTAGATTTTTCTGAGCAGAAGACTTAATTGAATGCAAACCCATACCAACTTTTTAGGGAAAAGAAAGTTCTAGAGCCCAACCCACCTAAATCAAAAAGTATAAAGGTAGTAGGATATGAATTAGAGGGAATTATGCAACTGCATTTTGCAATTGTGTCAAAGGCTTTATTTCCAAATAAAAATCATGCTGGTTTTTTTCTGTTTCTATCACCCCAGGTATATATTTCACATAATACATGTATTAGCTCTGAAGGGAGTAATCCATTTAAATATGATTAATATTGATGAAAGAAGAAATCTTAGTGCATTTGATGAAATAAAAAATTTGCCCCACAAAATCATAATTAGGGAGCAGAGAGTGGTGTATTTGCTCTTGTTTTGTCCGCAACATTTATTTTTGTTGCTTTAATGGAGAAAACCAAACAGCTTAGCATCAAAGGTTACAGTGAAAAAATATTGTGAGAGAACAGGTCATGGTTAATATGCATAATGTTGCTGCATATAAAATTAAATTTATGCATGATATGCCTTTACTATTTGTTTGCATTGACTTTTATAGTGTTCATAACTTCTGGAAACAATACTGCAATTCTGAGAGTAGCTTCAGTCTATAAGGAAAAAAGACAGCCAGACCAGGTCATGGTCACTTCTTTATTGGGTGGTAGCTCTTGCCCACAGGAAACCTTATGGACATTCTAGCATATACACAATCTCCTTCAGTTATCCATCCATCCATCCATCCATCCTTTGCATTTGTACATCACCCCACAGCCAGAGGCTCTCTGCGTGGCTCACAGTGGAATAAGATGAATGAGCACCACCAGCCAGATGTGCAGAAGACTGAACTTATTCATCATGTCCTGGCTGAGTAAGAAGACATGCTTGCAATGAGACCATGGTGCTGGCAGAACAGAGAATGCTAGCGCATCTAACATAGCGGTTGGGCAGAAGTGGGCAGTGCTGCTCTGTTGTAAAGTAAACATGAGAACATTTGATATGGTAGGTCAGAACTGCAGTTCAGCAACAGGATCCACAAGGAAGGCTGTTCAGATTGCCAACAGCTGCTAGGCAAGTTAAGATGATTCAAGGGACAAATAATGATAAAGCCCCAAAACTCTTCCAGATCAGAATGGTAAGGTGCCCTGGGATTAATCTGACCCTGATCATGTTTGGGCTTCTAAGCCCCAAGAGGAGGAAGGGGTCAAAACAACACTGGATCCACTTCCCCGGATACTTCAAATGAGTATTCAGTCAGGTTCCTTATTCTGTACATTTCCTCCTGTGAAAGGAAGCCCACAGCATACTGCCAAGCATTGCAAAGAGCTCAAGATGAAGATTGCAGAGGAAGACCAAAAAGAGTTCAAAAAATCATCAGACAAAAAAAAATCTAATCCACTCTTCTATAATAGTATTAACAATATGATAAATGTTATCTCATCCTCTGCACCAGCTTTTCTAACCTGGCACCTTTGCCATCCAAAAGATGCCAGGTTGAGGAAGCCTGCTCTAAATTCAAGGTTCCTTTAGGATTGGCAAGCCATCTAAGTGATCAGCAAAAAAGGAGTTCATGTCAAACCAACAAAGTAGTTAGATACAATAGGATTTTGTAGGATTTTGGATTTTGGCAGGTGGATTTTGATGCTTTGGTGCAGCTGCTCCTACTGCTGGAAACACATGTTGCTCTTCAATTTAAAATGTGGTTTGCCTCTTCAATTATCATAGCTGAAGTGTACACTTTCATAACTTACTAAAGGCAGCCTTTTCATGCAATACCTGCACAATTATTCTGCGTGTATGTCTGAAGCAAAGACATTGTTGTACCAACCATGTTTGTGGAATAAGGAGAGTGCTATTTTGGCTTAAATCCTGGATTATACCATTACACATGGATAAGTACACAACAGTCTTCCTGTTAAAGAAAAGTCACAGTCAGAAATATCCCCTCCAGAAATTCACTCAACTGCCAGAGTCCCATGCCAAGTTCTCCTTTTCCCCTCTTGAGATGTGAACTACTGTTCAGTGGTGGGCTACTCTTGTTTGTACATTTGGGGTAATTCCAGGCTTCACGGGCATTTCATCCTCAAGAACAGCATGCAATTTTGTGCTGCAATAATACTCAACCAGAAGATCTTAATTCGTTTCTGAGTCACATCAGGAGTGATGGTGCCATTAAGAAATATGTGAAGGAAACCAGTCATCCTTCTCTTTTCAAATCCTAACTCATCATGCAGATACTGCAGAACATGAGCCCAATAGTAGCGTAACTGATAAAGGAGAGGCTGTCACTGTCAACTAGAGAAAGAACCTGACACATGTGTGTCCTTGCCCAAGGATAGAAAAAGGTGACAAAAACATTTTCCCTTGACAGTATTTGAAACAAGGAGAATTATCTTTCAGAGATGTACCTGAAGGTTAGAAGTAATATGAATTGCAAAAAAGTACATCTCTGAAAAGTCATAAGGAAAGTGGTATTATAGCTGTTATTTGTTGGAATCAGGAAAAGAAATCCTCAAGATAATGTCAAACCAGTGATTGAATCATGGGTGGTCAGAGGAGGCCCATTTAGCCCTTCACATTTGTGATGCCCCCTTATTTATTTATTTATTTATTTATTAAAACATTTTTATGCCGCCCCATTCGCAGAAGCCTCGGGGCGGCTTACAACAACAGGAGAAAATGGAATGGCCAAAATGGAAAAGACTTAGGAGTTGGGCCTGTCACATTTCTTACAATCCATCTTCTCCCTTGTAACTTGAGTACTGCCTCAATTTATACCAAAAATGTTCAAGACAATTAACAATTCTATTTACTTAATTAACATTTAAAACATATGCATCCTACCTTCTAGCTCAAAATGCCCCCAAGGCAGCTCACAACAACAGTTAAATGCAAAATGGGCAGCCAAAAAGAAA